CAAAATTATATACATTTGCAATGTATTAAACGAGCAACAATATTCAATGCACATGCATGAGAAATTAGTTTCAATTCACCTAATCCTCATGCAATTTCTACAACAATCAAAGCTATCCTCCACCGATAGCCCAAAATAGATATATAATCTCCAATACAGATAAACTTTCTAAAATTCAAGATGTGAGCGATAATACATATCCAACTCCACCATCCATAGCAATATCCATCTAATTTCACATTTCCAACCTCAATTCCATTTATTTATACAAAATAAATATTTGAGACATTTAGGGCAAAACCCATTTTTTCTTCCAAAATTCATTCCAAATATCAAAATCAATAATTTCATCACAACTCAACCTCATTTCCACTCCCACAACCATTTTCAATACATCCATTGGAAACTCTCTTTTTATTTCAAACCAAAACCCTAGGTTTGCTCAAAATCCTCAAAAATCACAAAATTGTTTTATAAAAACAAATATCTAAGTTAAAAATCATAAAAGAGTGTAGAGAATCCTTATCTCGAAGCTAGAAGACCAAGAAGGGAAAGGATAAACCTCAAAGAAGCCGAAATCCAACTATACTCGGATGAAAATGGAGCTCTAAGTGAGCTCTACCTTTTTCTTAAAGGAAGTAGGGTAGATAAATCAATGAATGCAAGTGTTTTAGAAGAGAGAAAGTGAGTTTTAGAAAGAGAGCGTCTTAACTTAGGGTTTTTAGGAAGTTTAGAGAGAGATATGAAAAAGTGATGTAAAAAGTGATTTTTACAGACTGATATACACGTAGTCCGCTCAAGCATAGGATGTGATGCTCGAGTGTAGAATACACCCTCCTAGTAGTTTTAAACACAGAAGGCCAATGCACGAGCGCAAAAAGGGCTGCTCGAGCACAACACCACTTGAGCGCAAGAAGCTTCGCTCAAGTGAATAATAACAAGTCCCAATAGTTTTGCAGACCTGCAAAAGTACTGAGAGTTCATAAAGCCTGCTCGAGCACAAGAAGTGGCGCTCGAGCGTAGAAGCAAAATTTTGGACAACAAGGTTTTTGAAAAACAAGGTACCAACCTGTTCCAAACGCAATCAACACATCTCAATAGCCAAATTCAAGGAGGGAAAAGTGGAATAAGACTAGAACAACTGTACAAAACCATGAAACTTGAATCCAGAATATCAAATGGGTCGGGGCTTAAACTAGAATCACCATAAAAAATTTAATTTATATACAGGTTCAATACCAAAAATCAAGAGTAATTAAGACTCAGAAATTTCCAAGCAGGTCTCACAAAGTCAAAATTGAAGGGTAATATAATATGTTTTTCACAAATTTAAATTGAATGGTCCACCACACAACAACTACAGTAGTAATGACAACGCAATAAAAAAAAAATTAAAATCCATACTAATCCAATACTAACCAACATCCAAACTCGCAAACGTATTAAGAAGGTTACTAAATAGGTACCAAGAAAATAAATAATTAAATAAATCAAATTTGATTCAACTCGTGACAGTTGGAAAACAATGTGAAGAGGTCATAACAAAAAGGTGTTTAGTTAATAATTAAGCAATACAATAAATATTTCAAAAGAATATGGAGATATGCAATTATCAATTTGCTTGCCTATTGCTTTTCATTTCCACTCTTACATCATCAGAGCACACATTTGGAAACTGTTGCAATTATCAATTGTTGTTTATCCACAATTTTGTAACAGTCACTAACTACAAGTGTTGTAAATTACTTTACATGTTGCTTTCCCCGTCTTGGAGGAATTGCCTATGTCATGCCTCGAAACAATTATAACAAACCATCCACGATGATAAGTAAATAACAATCTAAATCAGAGTATAATAGCTTTCCATTACATAAGACTCAGTTGTACAAAAGGGTGACACATGCGGATATACATTCATAAGTCCTAACTCTGAATCTATAGCATGTGTCAACAACAAAGATATGAAAATAGAAGTTAAACAGATAATTGAAATGCCCTGAAGGCTACAACTTTTCAAGACTATACTTGGTTACATCAAAATGTATTTAAATCTAACACAGGTAAAGCTCTAGGCTAGTACAAAATAATAACAAGAAGTAAACAAAATGAAGCTCTTGCTCCAATCCTCCCAAGCTACTTCCTTGGCGGAGACATCTCACCAACACCTAAAAATGGTTTTCCCATAGAGGGTGAGTCAAAGAGTAGTAGAAATAATCCAACACAATATATGAATCTTAACAAAGATATAAGGGTGAAATGCATATGCAATGCCCATGTCAAAACGTTTTACATTTCTTTCCCAAAGACCATGCCAGGCTTAGTTTATATCACAATTCTCAAATCATGTCCTTTACCATATAAGACAAGGGGGAATTCTCAAACCGGTACAACCTTTCACGTATATTTCGTCCGCAGGAAATCGTCAAACGGCACCCATGTAAACGTAGCCTATACAAGCGCTACTATTACCATTTTATGGATATTTCATCCGCGGGAATCGACACCCATGTATATGTGCGTTTTTTGGGACTTTCGCCCTTGACACACAGGCTAACTTAATTTGGTGATACACACCTCTTTCCCACTTTCACCCATTTTTTTCAAAATCAAATACATTTGCAATGCATTAAATGAGCAACAATGTTCATGGATGAGAAATTAGTTTCAATTCACCTAATCCTCATGCAATTTTTACAACAATCATAGCCATCCTCCACTAATAGTCCAAAATAGATATTTCTAAATAGATATAAAATCTCCAATATAGATAAACTTTTCAAAATTCAGGATGTGAGTGATAATACATATCCAACTCCACCATCCATACCAATATCCATCTAATTTCACATTTCCAACATCAATTCCATTTATTTATAGAAAATAAATATTTGAGACGTTTAGGAAAAAATCCATTTTCTTCCAAAATGTATTCCAAGTATCAAAATCAACAATTTTATCACAACTCAACCTTATTTCCACTCACACAACCATTTTCAAAAACTCCATTTGAAAACCTCTCTTTTGATTTTAAACCAAAAGCCTAGGTTTGCTCAAAATTCTCTAAAATCACAAGATTGTTTTATAAAAATAAATAGCGAAGTTAAAAATCATAAATGAGTGCAGAAAATCCCTACCTTGAAGTTAGAAGACCAAGGAGAGAGTGGAGAAACCTCACGGAAGCCGAAATCAAACTCTATTCGGATTAAAACGAAGCTCTGGGTGAGCTCTACCTTTTTAACAATGGGAGTGGAGTGGAGAACTGGGTAGATCTTGGTGTATTTGTAGAGAGAGAGTAAGTTCTAGAGGGAGATGCACTAGATTTAGGGTTTTGAAATGTTTTAGAGAGAGATGAAAAAGTGATGTAAAAAGTGGATTTTATGGACTGATATACGCACAGTCCGCTCGAGCGTCTAGACACAAAAATAATTACCGCTTGAGCTCAAGAAGTGAAGCTTGATTGTAGAATACACACTCCCAGTAGTTTTACAAACAAAAAGCCAATGCTCGATCGCAGTAAAGGCCGCTTCAGCCAAGACCGCTCGAGCGCAAAAAGTTCCGCTCGAGCATAGAATATCACTTCCCAGTAGTCTTGCAGACCTGCAAAAGTACTGTGAGTTCACAAAGCCCGCTCGAGCGTAAGAAGTGATGCTTGAGCAAAGGAGCAAAATTCTGTACAACAAAAGTTTGAAAACCAAGCTACCAACCTGTACCAAACGCAGCCAATACAACTCAATTGCCAAGGAGGTATACGGGAAATAAGACATGAACAATAATACAAAACTATGAAACCTGAATCCAGAGTATCAAATAGGTCGGGTCTTAAACTAGAATCGTTATAGTCTAACATAATAGAGATATGGATTTGAAAGATATCCAGGTTTCTATTATTGAGAAATTGGTACATGTGGTTCAGTTCAATATGCTCCTATGACTGCAAAATCTAAAAACATACAACGTATATAATTGTTCAAAGATGGAAGTGATAGTCACGGAGAAAGAAAAAGAAAAAGGAACCACCAGTAATGATATCATCGCGTTCCCTCAATTAACAACTCTTAATCTTTCGGAGTTGGCGAGCCTTAAAAGTTTTTACACGTGGCCTACAAGATCGGAAGCACAACCATTGTTCAACCACCAGGTTTGATTTTCCTAATTTATTTTCTCAACCCTAGCAATGGGAAAGCGTGCCCAAAAAAAATTAAAATTCCTTTTCAATTACAATTTTAAATTTGAAACTTATTTGAATATTCTCTTTCTATCCAAATCCAAATAAAAGTAAAATAATTTGAAGGTGGACATGCTAGGGGCCTACGATGGAAATTACATTATTACCCAAACAAAAATATGTATGAATTCTAAATTTAACAATATATTTTTATTATGTATATGAATCTTAATATGATTTTATTTGGTTAAAATTATGTCCAAAATTGTAATTTGCCTAATCTTGGTTTGGGGTTCCTTAAAAATTATTTAAATATTGGATATCATATTGGATATCATATTTCGAGTTCAAATAATTTGATTTATTTTACCATCGTAACTTAAATAGATATGCCAAGAAAATGAATATTAAATTAAATAAGAAACTATCAATATAAAAAATTATCAAGGCGCCATTGTGAATTTTTAAAATAAAATTTTCTTCCTTTTCGTAGGTCTAATACTCAGATCTACAGTATAATTTGCCTTATCAAAAAAATAACAAATAAGATTAAGGAACACAAATTATTTAAGGCAAATAGAAAAATAATGATGAATGATGGAAAACAATGTGAAGAGGTCATAACCAAAAGGTGCATAGTTAATAATTAAGCAATATAATAAATATTTGAAAAGAATATGGAGATATGCAATTATAAATTTGCTTGTCTACTGCTTTTCATTTCCACTCATGCATGATCAGAGCACACATTTGGAAACTGTTACAATTATCAATTGTTGCTTATCCACAATTTTGTAACAGTCATTAACTACAAGTGTTGTAAATTACTTTACAGGTTGCTTTCCCCATCTTGGAGAATTTGGTAATTTCGAAATTGCCTAACATAATAGAGATATGGGAGAAGCGATTACTCATAGCCTCAGAAAACGAATCAACGTCTTGCCGGCTGAAAGATATGAGGGTTTCTAATTGTGAGAAATTGGTTCACGTGGTTCGGTTTAAAATGCTCCCACGACTGCAAAATCTGGAAACATTCATGGTAGACAATTGTCCAAAGATGGAAGCAATAGTCGCGGAGAAAGAAAAAGAAAAAGGAACCACCAGTAATGATATCATCGTGTTCTCTCAATTAACAACTCTTAATCTTTCGGAGTTGGCGAGCCTTAATAGTTTTTACACGTGGCCTACAAGATCGGAAGCACAACCATTGTTCAACCACCAGGTTTGATTTTCCTAATTTATCTTAGTTTGGGGTTCCTTAAAAAAAATTTAAATATTGGATATCATACTGGATATCATATTTCGAGTTCAAATAATTTGATTTGTTTTACCATCTTAACTTAAATAGATATGCCAAGAAAATGAATATTAAATTAAAGAAGAAACTATCAATATAAAAAATTATCAAGGCACCGTGGTGAATTTTTAAAATAAAATTTTCTTCCTTTTCGTAGGTGTAATACTCAGATCTACAGTATAATTTGCCTTATAAAAAAAATAACAAATAAGATTAAGGAACACAAATTATTTAAGGCAAATAGAAAAATAATGATGAATGATGGAAAACAATGTGAAGAGGTCATAACAAAAAGGTGCATAGTTAATAATTAAGCAACATAATAAATATTTGAAAAGAATACGGAGATCTTGGAGGTAGCTTATCACCTGAGAAAAAATTTTATTTAAAATTCACCATGGTGCCTTGAATAATTTATTTCATAGTTGATTAGCTTCTATTTATAATTATTCATTTCTTTGGCTATCTTTTATTTAGATGGTAAAACAAATCCAAATTATTGAACTCGAAAATATGATAATACAGTATGATATCCAATATTTAAATAATTTTTTTAAGGAACCCCAAACCAATATTATGCAAATTACAATTTTTGGAACATAATTTTAGCAAATAAAATCATATTAAGATCATATTCAAAATAAAATTAGGTTAAATTTTTAGAAATTCATACATATTTTGTTTGGGTAATATTGTAATTTCCATCGTAGGCCCCTAGCATGTCCACCTTCAAATTATTTTTTACTTTTATTTGGATTTGGATAGAAAGAGAATATTCAAATTAAGTTTCATAATTTAAATTGTAATTGAAAAGGAATTTTAATTTATTTTTTTTGGCGGTGCACACTTTCTCATGGACAGGGTTAATAAAATAAATTAGGAAAATCAAACCTGGTGGTTGAACAAGGGTGTGCTTCAAATTCTGTAGGCCAGTTGTAGAAACCTTTTTAAGGATCGCCACTCCGGAAAGATTAAGAGGTTGTAATTGGAGGAACGCAATGATATCATTACGTGGTTCCTTTTTCTTTTCTTTCTCGCGACTATTGCTTCCATCTATATGCGACAATTGTCTATCCTGAATGTTTCTAGATTTTGCAGTTGCCGTGGAGCATATTGAACCGAAACCACATGAACCAAATTCTCACCAATAGAAACCTTATATCTTCAAACCCATATCTTTATATGTTAGACTATAGCCGATTCTGGTTTAAGTTCCCGAATCCCATTTGATGCTCTGGATTCAGGCTTTCATTGTTTTGTATTATGTTCATGTCTTATTTTCCTTTATACCTCTTGAGTTGGCTATGAGTTGTTGTATTGGCGCTGCGTTTGAAACATGTTGGTAGCTTGGTTTTCAAACTTTTGTTATTACGAATTTTTGCTCCTTGCTCAAGCATCATCTTCTTACGCTCGGAGCGGGCTTTGTGGAACTCACAGTACTTTTGCAGGTCTGCAAGACTACAGGGAAGTGATATTCTATGCTCGAGCGAAACTTTTTGCCGCTCAAGCGGGTCTGGCTGGAAACGACCTTTACTGCCGATCGAGCGTTGGCTTTTTGTTTGTAAACTACTGGAGTGTGTATTCTACAATCGAGCTTTCACTTCTTGAGCTTCAAAGCGTAATTATTTTTGTTGTCTAGAGCTCGAGCGGACTGTGCGTTATTCAGTCCATAAATTCACCTTTTTACATCACTTTTTTCATCTCTTCTAACATTCAAAACCCTAAATCTAGTGCATCTCTCTCTAGAAACTTACTCTTTCTCTACAAATACACAAGATCACCCATTTCTCCACTCCACTCCATGTTAAAAAGTAACGAGCTCACCCAGAGCTTTCATTTTCATCCGATAGAGTAGATTTCGGCTTCCTTTGAGGGTTTTCTCACTCCTCTTCTGGTTCTTCTAACTTTCGAGCGGTAAGGATTTTCTACACTCATTTATGATTTTGAACTTCGCTATTTGTTTTATTAAAACAATCTGTGATTTGGAAGAAATTTTGAGCAAACCTAGGCCTTTGGTTTAAAAATCAAAAGAGAGGTTTTTCAAATGGAGTCATTGAAAATGGTTTTGGTTTGAGTTAGAATTAGGTGGAGGTTGTGATAAAATTGTGATTTGATTACTTGGGAATACATTTTGGAAGAAAAGGAATTTTGTCCATAAACGTCTCAAATATATTTCTCTATAAATAATGGAATGGATGTTGGGAAATGTGAAATTAGATGGATATTGGTATGGATGGTGGGATTTGGGATATTGTATTATCACTCACATTTGAATTTTTGAAAGTTTATCTGTATTGGAGATTTTAATATCTATTTTGGGACTATTAGGTGGAGGATAGCTTTATGATTGTTGTAGAAATGCATGAGGCATTAGGTGAATGAAACTAATTTCTTCATCCATGAAACATTGTTGCCTCATTTATGCATTGCAAATGTATTTGATTTTGAAAAAAATGGCCGTGAAAGTGGGAAAGAGGTGTGTAATCACAAATTTAAGTTAAGCCTGTGTGTTCAAGGGCGAAAGTCCCCAAAAAAACGGCACTATACATGGTGTCGATCCCTGCAGATGAAATATCCAAGTAAATGGTTTAATAGTTAGCCGCTATATAGGTACTACGTTTACATTGGTGCGTTTGACGTTTTCCCGCGGCAGAAATCATACGTGAAAGTGTACCGTTTGAGAATTCCCCCTTGTCTTATATGGTAAGGACATGATTTGAGAAATTGTGATATTAAATACTAAGCCTGGCATGGTCTTTGGGAAGAAATGTAAAACGTGTTTTTTTTTGACATTGGGCATCTGCATATGCCATTTCACCCCATTATATCTTTGTAGAACCCATATATTTTGTGTTGGATTATTTCTACTACTCTTGACTCACCTCTATCGGGAAACACCAGTTTTAGTGTTTGGTGAAGATGGTCTCCGCAAGGAAGATAGCTTGGGAGGATTGGAGTCAAGAGGCTTCATTCTTGTTTACTTCTTCTTATTATTTTGTATAGCCTAGAGCCTTTACCCTTGTTAGATTTAAATACATTTTTGATGTAACCAAGTATATGTCTTGAAAAAGTTTGTAGCCTTCAAGGCATTTCGAATTACTATTTAACTTCTATTTTCATATCTTTGTTGTTGACACATGCTTATAGATTCAGAGTTACGACTTATGAATGTATATCCGCATGTGTCACCCTTTTGTTACAACTGATGTCTTATGTATGGAAAGCTATTATACCTGATTTTGGATTGTTATTTACTCTATCATCGTGGATGGTTTGTTTATAATTGGTTTGAGGCGTGACATAGGCAATTCCTCCAAGACGGAGGAAGCAACATGTAAGTAATTTTACAACAACTTGTAGTTAGTGACTGTTACAAAATGTGAAGATTAAGCAACAAATTGATAATTGTAACAGTTATTCCAAATGCAGTGCTCATGATGCATGTAAGACGTGGAATGAAAAGCAATAGGCAAGCGAATTGATAATTGCATTATCTCCATATCTTTGAAATATTTATTTGTAATTGCTTAATTATTAACTAACACCTTTTTGTTGTGACCTCTTCACATTGTTTTTTCCACTGTCCGAGTTGAATCCAAATTGATTTATTTTAATTATTTTATTTTCTTGTACCTATTTAGTAACCTTCTTAATATGTTTGCGAGTTTGGATGTTGGTTAGTATGGATTAGTTATGGATTTTAAATTTTTTTTTTATTTGGCATGTCATACTACTGTATTGTTGTGTGGTGGACCATTCATTAAATTTGTTGAAAAACATTATTATATTACCCTTCAATTTGACCTTTGTGAGCACCTTGCTTGCGAAATTCTTCTGAGCTTATTACTCTTGATTTTTGGTATTGAAACCTTATATAATATTAAATTTTTTATAGCAATTCGGTGCGTTAAGACCCGACCCATTTGAATATTCTGGATTCGGCGTTTCATGGTTTTGTCAGTTGTTCTAGTCTTTTATTCACCTTTTCCCTCCTTGAATTTGGCTATTGAATGTGTTGCGTTGTGTTCTGGAACAGGTTGGACCTTGTTTTTCAAAAACCTTGTTGTCCAAATTTTTGCTTCACGCTCGGCGCCACTTTCTTGTGCTCGAGCAGGCTTTATTGAACTCTCATGTACTTTTGCAGGTCTGCCAAAACTATTGGGACTTTTATTATCACTCAAGCGGAGTTTCTGCGCTCGAGTGTGGATGTGCTCAAGCGGCCCTTTTTGCGCTCGTGCGTTGCCCTTCTGTGTCTTAAAACTACTAGGAGGGTGTATTCTAACACTCAAGCATCACATCCTATGCTCGAGTGGACTACTCTGTATATCAGTTGTAAAAATCACTTTTTACATCACTTTTTCATATCTCTCTCTAAACTTTCTACAAACCCCAGTTTAAGACCCTCTCTTTCTAAAACTCACTATCTTTTCTAAAACCTTGCATTCATTGATTTATCTACCCCCTACTTCCTTTAAGAAAAAGGATAGAGCTCACTTAGAGCTCCTTTTTCATCCGTAGTATAGTTGGATTTCGGCTTCTTGAGGTTTTCTCCTTCCCTTCTTGGTCATTCAGCTTCCGAAGATAAGGATACTCTACACTCTTTTATGATTTTTTAACTTAGCTATTTATTTTTATAAAACATTTTGTGATTTTTGGGGGATTTGCAGCAAACCTAGCGCGTTTTTCATTTTGAAATTAATAAGAAGTTTCCAATGGATGTATTGAAAATGGTTGTGAAGTGGAAATAAGTTGAGTTGTGATGGAAAATTATTGATTTTGATATTATGGAATGAATTTTGGAAGAGGAAAAAAGGGATTTTTCCTTAAATGTCTCAAATATTTATTTGTATAAATTAAAATGGAAATTGAGGTTGGAAATGTGAAATTAGATGGATATTGCTATGGATGTTGGAGTTGGATATGTATTATCGCTCACATCTTGAATTTAGAAAAAGTTTATCTGTATTTGGAGATTTTATATCTATTTGGGCTTATCGGTGGAGGATAGTTTTTTGCATTGTTGTAGAAATTGCATGAGGATTAGGTGATTGAAACTTTAATGTATCATGCATTGTTGCATTAAATATTGTTGCTCGTTTAATTACATTGCAAATGTATATTATTTGAGAAAATTGATTGAAAGTGGGAAAAGAGGTGTGCTATTTCACCAATTAAGTTTGGCCTATGTGTCCAGGGTGGAAAGTCCTGGAAAAAAACAACACATATAAATGGATGTCGATTTCCCACGAACGAAATATCCATAAAATTGGCCAATAGAGTCGCTTGTATAGGCTACGTATTACATGGGGATGCCGTTTGACGGTTTTCTAATGGGGGGAAAAAACCCCCCCCCGGGGGGAAAAAAAAAATAATTCCGTGAAAGGGTTATAACTGGTTTTGAGGGGATTTTTGGGGCCCCTTGTTTTTTTTTTTTTTCAATTTTGTTAAAAAAAAGGAAAAAACCAATTTGATTTTTTTTTTAAAT